ATTATATTAAAATATAATATATATATTTTAATATAATTAAAAAAAAGAGTACTACAAGACAATTAAAATCAGAAGAATGAAAGAGGAAAACTAAAAAGCAAGACGAGGTAAAAGCATGGAGAGGACCTAACCTATTGAATATGAAAATAAGTTGAGGTTAAATAAATTAAAGAGCAAAATACAGTGGGGTGGAGGTGGCCTCTTCCGGTTAACGTCCTGGCCTAGACACCAGGAGACGGTGAGTTCTAGTCCCGCATTAGGCATGAAAGCTGACTGGGTGACTCTGAGCCAATCACCAGGAGACGGTGAGTTCTAGTCCCGCCTTACGTCTGAAAGCTGACCGGGTGACTCTGGGCCAATCACCAGGAGACGGTGAGTTCTAGTCCCGCCTTAAGTCTGAAAGCTGACTGGGTGACTCTGGGCCAATCACCAGGAGACGGTGAGTTCTAGTCCCGCCTTATGTCTGAAAGCTGACTGGGTGACTCTGGGCCAATCACCAGGAGACGGTGAGTTCTAGTCCCGCCTTATGTCTGAAAGCTGATTGGGTGACTCTGGACCAATCACCAGGAGACTGTGAGTTCTAGTCCCGCCTTATGTCTGAAAGCTGATTGGGTGACTCTGGACCAATCACCAGGAGACTGTGAGTTCTAGTCCTTAGGCATGAAAACTGTCTAGGTGACTCTCAGCCAATCAATCCCTCTCATCCTAGCCCACCTCACAGGGTTGTTGTGGTGGGGAAAATAAGGGAAGGAAGGAATGTCGGTATGCAGGTCGTCCTTGACTTACAACAATCCACTTAATGACCGTTCAGAGCTGCAATATCACTAGAAAAAGTGACTTCTGACCGTTTTCACACTTAACAACCACTGTAGCATCCCCATGGTAATTCGGATGCTTGACTAACTCAGTGACTCACACATATGACAGTTGCAGTGTCCAGGAGTCGTGTAATTGCCTTGTGCGACCTTCTGACAAGCAAAACCAATGGGAAAGTCAGGCTCACTTAACGACCATTACTAACTTAGCAACTGCAGCGATTCACGTAATGGCGGTGGCAAGAAAAGTCATAAAAAGGGGGTGAAACTCACTCAACCAATGTCTCACTTAGCAACAGACATTTGAGGCTCAGTCCTGTAAAGGAACTATTGTGGGGGGGGGGAATTGGCAGGGGACAATCAGAGACACTTCGAATTGTAGCACTAAAGCTTGTTGATTGTGATCAGCACAAAAAGCACTTCTGTCTACACAAACAAGGAATCCTCAGGTGTCAGCCATGCCCCCCCCACACCCCCGGAGGAGCACCTGGGTACAGAGATTGTGAGAAGCAGGCGGGGGAACGGTGCCAGCTGCTGCGGGGAGGAAGGGAAGATAAGAACTTCAAAATCGGGTTGTAAGTAGCTCTGGGGTGACCCGTCATAACTTTAAAGGATCGCTAAGCAGGCGGTCGTATGTAGAGAACGACTTCTGCTGTTCTGCAAGGATGCTCCGAAACATCGCTGGAAGTTTTGAAGAAGGGAGTCGACAGACATTCATCTGGAATGGTGTTGGGCAAGGGACTTCAACTCCCAGAATTCCCCAGCCAGGCTGCTTGAAGACAGGTGGATTCTGGGAGTTGAAGTCTCCCTATCTTAAAGGTTGAGAAACAGTGGCCTAGACCAAGGGGTCACCAACCTTTCGGGCCTCAGAGACCACAAAAACCATCATTTTAAGTCCCGCGGACCACTAATATGATTTTTTTTAAAAAAAAAAAGATAAATAGTATTTAAGTGCAATATAAAAAGTGCAAATAATTTTTCTGCGGACCACCAACATTTTCTCATGGACCACCGGTGGTCCACGTACCCCCGGTTGGTGAACAATGGTCTAGACCAGGGAGATTCAACCTTGCCCACTTAAGACTTGTGGACTTCAACTCCCAGAATTCCTCAACCAGCATGGTGTATGATGGGCGGCCGAAGTTGGACAAACCTGATATAGCTGTGATGGCGAACCTATGGCAAGCGTGCCACAGGTGGCGTGTGGACCACATATGCTGCCATGCCAGCCGTCAGCTCTGGCACACATGGATGCGCCGGCCAGCTAATTTTAGCCCTTCCGGAGGACCGGGAGAGGGTGTTTCCCCCCTCGCAGAGTCTTCCAGCAGTGGCCACTCTGGGCGTACGCTCTATGGTTGTGAGTCGGCTGCCGGCACAGCATACTCCCAGAGCGTACAACCATAGAGCGTATGCCCAGAGCGGCCACTGCGGGAAAACTTGGTTTGGAAGCCGCCAAAAAAGCCATGCGGCAGCAGCGGAAGTGCCCTGGCTCTGCAGGGGGAGCTGGGCAGGGCATCTTGAGGCTGAGAGGTAGGTGAGCGAGAGCGGAACAGCCGCTCGCGCAACCTCCCTCTCTCCAGCCGTGCAGAGCGCCTTTCACTGGCATTTCGAAGGCGCCAAGCCGCGGGAGCCGGGTGGTGGCAAACAGGTGCTCACATGGCTTGGCGATACCCCTAGGTCAGTGAATGGTGCTGTGCCCGGCTGGAAAGGGGGTTTGCTGGATGGCTGCTCGTGAGCGTGGTTGCTTCATGGCTGCTGTGCTGCGCTGCTGCGACCGCACAACACAGCCGTTGGCCCCAGAGGCTGTGCGCGGCTCTTTGGGAGCCCGCTTTCAAGAGAGCAGCCGCCCAGGAACCCCACCCCCCGCTTCAGCTGGGCACAGCGCAGCTCACCAACCTAGGTATCAAGAAGGCGCCAAGCAATGTGATCAGCCCCCCCCCCCGATACCCGTGGCTTGGCACCTTCGGGATACCGCTAGGTGGGTGAGCGTTGCTCTGCCTGGCCGGAGATGGGGGGGTTGTCCCGGGGGCTTATTTAAATATTTATATTTTTGCCCACCAGAAAAAAGTGGCAAGGCCTTAGTTTCAGGACAAGTCATATTTTGGGGGGAGACATGGTAGAAAGAAAGAAATAGATAGATGATAGTAAGATAGAAAGATAGAAAGAAAGAAATAGATAGATAGAAATAGATAGATAGAAATAGATAGATAGTAAGATAGATAGAAAGAGAGAAATAGATAATAGATGATAGACAGTTAGACAGATAGAAAGATAAATAGATAGCAAGAAAGGATAGATAGAAATAGATAGATAGTAAGATAGAAAGAGAGAAATAGATAATAGATAGATGATAGACAGATAGATAAATAGATAGCAAGAAAGAAATAATAGATAGAAATGATAGATAGATAGATAGATAGATAGATAGATAGATAGGTAGGTAGGTAGGTAGGTAGGTAGCAAGAAAGAAATAATAGATAGAAATGATAGATAGATAGATAGATAGATAGATAGATAGGTAGGTAGATAGATAGATAGATAGGTAGGTAGGTAGGTAGGTAGCAAGAAAGAAATAATAGATAGAAATGATAGATAGATAGGTAGGTAGGTAGGTAGGTAGGTAGGTAGCAAGAAAGAAATAATAGATAGAAATGATAGATAGATAG